TAGAGTTGACTAAAAACCCTGATTTCAAACCAACCAAGAAGAGGCGTACGAACCACACACCTTCCAGGTCGTGGTAGTGGTCACCGGCTAGATTGGGTATCTAGGTGTGACCAAGGTCAAAGAGTGTAGGGTTCGATTCGTACAACGGTCCCCAATTGACTACTATTTTCGCACACCTCCCCGCAGCCATGCGGGCAGGCTTTGGCGAGCTTAATGCTCTGGTTGTGAACTCCCTAAGAAAATTCACCTGCTTTGGCCTGAGTAACCTAGCAATATCGTGCCCTCGAGCAAACTATGGACCTTTTTATTTTTTATAAAGAATACTGTACTGTGATTTGTTTGGCACACAGTCTGAACTCAGGTGTGAGCGAAAATGAATAATAAATAAACAAACGTTCCATGGGTTATCGGTCTGTGTTGGATAGTGAAAAGTAATACAGGCCAGATGAAATGGTAAAACACACGTATTAGCATCTATTCCATGAGATGACGAAATACTCACCGTCAAAATCATTGATAATTCAAAGACTGACCGATAGTTCACCCAGATAGAACATTCGCAAGTGGTGCAATGTGAAACGAGAATCCAGGTATCAATTACAGAGTGAAATTACTTTAATTTATATTCAAGCGCCATATCCATGCAATGGGCAATTTAACCGGAATCTGTATTCGCTAACGAATGGATTGCCATGAAAACCAATACAATGTTGGCGCGTACTCGTGAATGCTAAAACGACCATCACTAACTCACCGTGTCCTTTTTCACAGCCTCCACTTTTTCCATGTGTTTGTTCATAATGTGCTTTTTCACGTAGATTGGATCGCGAAACTTCTTGTCCGACAAAGAACACACCCAAATCACATCACTGCAAACGAAAGAGATTTGAATGTTCACATGAGGGAGCGAAAACGTCAGTTATTACAGCTTACCGAACCACAAACAAAAAAATTGTTGTTCTTGTTATTCATTGTAATTATCTGACCCCCATTTCACTTCACTTGTATCCCCCTCTCCCCTCCCGTTTTCTGTTATTTTTGTTGTTGCGTTGGCACTAAGCTTGCTCGCAAGCGGGTTATATATATATAACCGTTGACTGTTGTGTAGCTACTAATGGATTTTCGAGTCCTAGCATTACAATAATGCAATGGCCAAGCGTCTCTAGTGGCCTCTGCTTAGGAAGCCCTACTCACTGCCTTCTCGTGGCGGTGCTTTACCACCAAAGTGAGAGGACGAAAAGCCGACATCCAGGGCTATAACCGGATTGGTGGACCACTGGCAGTTCACCTAGGGGAGTTGGCCAAAAACCCTGATTCCAAACCAACCAAGAGGAGGCGTACGAGCCAAACCTGATTGTGGCGGTTGTGGTCACCGGCTCGATTGGGCACCTTGGACATTTGACCCCGTCCAAAGGGCGCGTGATCCGATGAACTGGACACCGGCCCCCAATGGATTGCGGTCTTCATACACCGCCCCGCTGCCTTGCGGATCAGGCCTTGGCTAGCCGAACGCTCCGGTTGTGGGTTCCTCCAGAAAATTTACCTACCTTGGCCTGGGCAACCTCGTAGTATTCCGCCCACATGCAAATCATGAGACGTTTTTCTTTTTCATAAAGATTATTGTACCGTGATTTGTTTGGCACGTGCGAAAAAATATAAATGGCCAACCACACTAGCAGAGATACACGCGATGCGAGCATTGCAATAAAACAGGACTAGACAGTGTTGAGAGATCGAAACAGTAAAGTATAAAGAATAAACAGGGCGAATATGTCAGTGATATTAGGAAAATTCGTAGCCAAAGAAGTTGATCGTCGAAATTAGGTTGGCTGGAACCGTTGATGCTAACGTGGCACTATTAGTTTGTGTGTTGATTGCTTGATAGAAGGCGCTGTGGTCAACAAACTACTCCATTCGGTTCTAGATTCAATGTTCAGCACCAAAGACAAAGTTAGGCGACAGAATATTATGCCGTCAGTCAGTGTATTAAAACGCCTTTATGATTCGTCATTCCAAATTCTGCAGCACATACTGGTGGTTCCGGGTAACCAGGTAATGGGTTCTTCGGGGTATCTCCTTACGCCTCCTAATTTTCAAGGATCAAAAACGACGAATATACTTACTTGAGTACGGTGAGCACATGCATAAGAGGTATCTGATACGACTTTGAACTCTGAGCTGGTAGACTGTCGTGTACCTTGGGGCACATTCTATCTACCAGGTTTTCTTTGCTGATCCAACTATTGCTTACGGTCCCAAGACGCTGAGAAGCGAATCAAAGCCATATCCCGGAAAACCGATAGACAGGCGAACTGCACAACGCTGAGCGTAACCCAGGTCTGAAAATCTCGGCGCGCCGGTATATAAAATGGATGTTGTTTAGTAGGTGGAAGAGGTTTACTCCCTTATCCAACAGTTATTGAGAATTTGTCCAACTGCAAGAGATGCAATTACACCCGGGTTGCATCAGTATCTATCGAACGGCAAACGAGCTGCTAGGGCGCCGTGAGCAACCACATAGGAACACAGCAGGATTGCATGGTTGTGCCAGGGCTATGGGTGTGACTTGGAACGAAAGCCCGGGTCACGCTGGGAACGTGCAGTGTGCCTAACTCCCTTGAAACACTTATGTTTAAGGAGCCAGCTGATCCACTGTAAGGAGTGTACCAAAGAAAACTAAGAAAGTGTTATTCGTTAAGATTACCGGTTCGTGTCAGCGGATAACATCCAGAAAGCCTGAAAACAATGGCAAGATTATATAGACGTAGGATGAACAATCCACAGTGGATCATCGGTACTGCGCAACAAATGAATCATACTCTATAGAGAAAAATAACAGAATTGTGCATGTATTTGCTTACGTTTTTCGCTTTTTTCGTCGCGTATTAGCCTTGACAAACGCTTCCACAACCTCTTCAACATCACGAAGTCCGAGTTTCTCACAGTCGGTTGCAGAAAGTGGACGAACCAACCGAATTAAACGTCGCAACTGATTCGCAAACAACTATTATATGAACAGAAGAGGGGACCGTAATAAGATTGGGTACGAAAGCTATGCACATACATACCGCAGCAAAGAAAAAGATACAATACTCCTAGTAATCAAACTTTTATGTGTGAATTAACATATAGCAACACAATTGTTTCAAATAAACTAAAAAAATAGTATTCAATATTGTTGCCGAAATCATTTGTTGTTCATCGCCGACTCGAAGTGTAACGAAAGGCGCTTGAACCAAAAGATACACAAACCAGGTTGCTCAATATTTCACTTAAGAAAGACATACTCAAGAACCAGAGAAAGAGACTGAATAATGCAAAAAACAGGAAATCTTAATCCTGATGATCAGCGTGTCAAACCATGCAAGATTCTACCCAACATAGAACCATGGATATANATGTTTAAAAAGACACTGTTCTGCCTATTTACACACTATCTGGACTGGTATTATTGCGATAGTAATACGTTTTAAATGACACTTGATACACGCGCTGACATCTCCTCGACAGGGCGAACGAATGCAGATCATACAAAGGTAATTTAGTTGAAAAATGGCTCTATTCACCACTTGGCAGCATCAATGTTAATCTTTTTTTACATTCGATGCATTAAATGGAACTGGGAAAGGCTAAAATAAAGCTTCAAATACCATCGATATCAAAAATAGTTTAGACCAATAGAGATTGCCAACTAGTCTGTCGAAGCGTTTCGTGGAGAATAACAGGGCCGAAAGAAACCTTGAAAGGGTTCTGGTGTGTCAGTGTCAAGTGAC